AACAACTAAAGGTGACATAGATACTTTATTATGGTATAATATTTAAATATTTGCCTGAGAAACACATAATACTGTCCCTTTAAAGACATCTACGTTGAAGCTGGAATAGAAAAAAAATCACCAGGAAGCTTTTTTTCGGTGGTTGCATACTGTAATTCCAACAAATTGATCAAATATATCATTTTTATTGGCAATGTAGACATAAAAAAGTTTCATAAGTCAACATAGGTTGTCTAGTGTGACAGGGCCTTAATCAGGGTTGTCTACAGCAAATACTCATAAAAACTGCCATCACTATTACAAGATAATGACATCACAGCAGCATTAGATTATTTATTAAACAAGAAGATGGCATTCTGCAGAACTTTTTGTTTACATGATTTTGTATTTTTATAAATTTGCAGTCATTTTAAATGCAAAACCATTTTAAACCATTTTTTCTCATTAAAAGTGAATTTATGATGTCAACTCTCCTGCAGAACCATTAGAAAAATGCAATCCATTGTTTTTTTCTGTTAACGCTGCAGAAAGGAATGAAAAAATATATATTTTCCTGACTCTAACGGTGTTAAAAGGCTGTGATTGATTAAATAAAGTTCAGTTTTGCATTGATTTGCTGATAGAGAAACAAGCTGTAAACAAGGACAGGAACATATGCAAATGTGCTTCAATAACCATTTTCTTCAGGTTTTGGTAAAACCGAACCCAAGCAAGTCTAAAAAAATGGTATTTTGTGGTTGTTGGAGGACAGTTGGGCCTGTGGGCGACCCCCCCACCCTGCTAGCCTTGTTTTGAGAGAAACCAAAACCACATGTGTTGGTTTTCGTCTAAAAAGCAGGGAAACAGGACTAACCAGCTTCTGTTATTGTTATACACAGAATTTTACAGCTTTTGAGCTGAAGGATTTTAAAACTTGAAACACGTAACTCCAGCTGTTCTTTTTGCGCTCTCTTCCCATGATTCTTAGTGCAAGAACCTGAATCACAAATGCGGTAACGAAGACGCCGTCACCTCTATATTAATCGACTTTACCGTAGTTTCACTGTAAGTAAAACCTCCTCTCAACTCCCCACTGTTGCTCCACCAATTCCAGCCCTGTATTCTTCTCCTCCCTCATTTATTTCCACCTCTAGTCCCTTGCTAGAATGAGTCATGAGGCTTGGCAGTACCAATCCAACCCCCTTCCACAATACCCTCTCCCCTCCATCTTCTCCCGCCATCCTTTTTTTTTCTTTGCGCCATCGCCTCTTTGCCTCATTGTCGTCTTGGAAACCCCGTGGAAATAAAAAACACTCCCACCATTTTTCACTTGCCAAAATAGAAGCCAGTTTTAAAGGAGGCCGTTTGTAACCGCACCAAGTTGCAAAGAGATTGACTCCTGTAAAGAAAAGGCTGTGAATTCAAGTTAAAGCTCCTGTCACATGAGATAAACTTGGCAAACTAAACAAAAGTTACTTCCTGTTTTGTTTTGTGAATTCGTTGTCATCATTTATTATCAGCCGGCTTTGAGTCATGTTTTCATGCTGGAGAGGTAGTTTTTCCTCTCAAAACATCTCATTAAATGCCAAGAATTTTGCAATAAATCACAGAAACAAGGTTCGGATTATCTCATGACTGTCACTCAGTAATGTTCTTACAAATATTTACCCCTCTGCTTTAAGTCAAATCACAGTATGTACTTTAACAATTAGGAGAAGTTTACTAATAACACTGTGAGACAAAGTTTTCTTTTTATTTAAACCAGTTTTAACAACTTTAAAGGTTATGAATCAAATCCAGAAACATCTAACTCCTAAAACAATTCAAGATAAAAAAAAATGAAATTTTGCAAATATTTTTCAAGTCTTTATTGCACAACTAATTCAAGACTATGTTTAATTATGTGTGTTGAATTCCTTTCAGCATTTAAAGCTATATTTTTCTGGGTTTTTGTTCTAATTTGCAGCTTGCTTCTAACTTTAACCCATATATTAAAGGAAAAGTCAACATTTTTATTTTTTACTTATTTTTGCAGAGTCAGTGCAACAAAACATCGCTTGCAGCTAGGCTTTTAGCTAAAAGCTAATTAACAGCCCTCGTGCCTGGTTAGGTGCTTTGATCTGAACAAACTTGATTTGATTTGATTTATTTATTTAACAGGAAAAGATTACTAAAAATCAAGCCTGACTCAGCATAATTGCTGTTTTACAGCAGGTTCCTGTTCTGCAGCACATAAAACACTCAGAAATGCAGCATCACAATCACATCATTATACATCATAGACACAAAGACAAACAAGCATACCAAATTTCAGGAGGGCAGCATTTGCAAAATAGGAATTAAAGTTAATGACCTAATTAAACGAGTACAGTGCAGTTACAATTTATGCAAATAAAACAATAAAAAATACATGAATAAATTTCAGTGCTCACAGTGTTGTTGTTCTTTGAACCAATACTTCAATTTTGTTGTAAAAAGTCACGTCTGACTTTAGATCCTGAGGTAATGTGTTGCATAATTGTGACTCTTAACACAAATAACCAGTGGTGGACAGTAACGGAGTACATTTACTTGAGTACTGTACTTAAGTACATTTTTGAGTATCGTTACTTGAGTGATTTTTTTGGGGGTACTTATGACTTTCACTCCACTACATTTCCAAGACAAATATTATACTTTTTACTCCACCATACTTCTAGGAATCTTGTTAACTTGTTAGTTTTGGTTCAGCAGAGCTTTGTGATCAGCTGTTGCTGTCTTTCTTTCTTGAAATGCCACACTATGCTCCCCACAAGGGGAACCAATCACAACTGTAGCTCACACCTGGCTGAGCTCCACCGTCATTTCAAACAGAACCCAACAATGGAGACAGTTGAAGAAATTCAAGTGGAGAAACCATAAATATATTTCAGCTCCATGTTTGAGGGTTTAGGACTGAAAAGTAGTTTGCATCCATTTAAATGTCTTCTGTGTTCACCGCAGATGAACTACATTTCTGCAAACTCACTGTTCATTTTATTTTATTTTTATGCTGAAGTCTTTACAGGTGGTGTAAAATTTGTAGCAGTGGTTCTACGCATCAATACATCAGGTGGTTTCTGAGAGTTACAAGGTTCTGTAAATTCACTCTGAAAACAATACAGCAATGTGCTGATATTAGACCGTTTAATTTGTACTTCTAAACACTTGAGTTCTTTTCAAAAGTAAATACTTCTGTACTTTAACTTGAGTAGATTTGACCATAAGTATCAATACTTTTACTCAAGTACTAGATTTGAGTACTTTGTCCACCACTGCAATTAAAGGGGCAATATAATGTAAAATCAACGTTTTTGAGTTTTATATCATGTTATAATGTTATACTCTCATAAAAAAACATGCCCAAAGCCTTGCTCTGACTCATTCATGCATGTTTGAGAAATCCTGCAGCGTTTTTATGCAGCCATGCTGAGGAGCAAAACGACAGGTGGGGACCAGAAACGCCCCTGGGATGATTTAAGCCGAGCTTCCTCATGGCCGAGCGCACCCCCTCCCCCTCCTGCAGGCTCTCAGGTGAAACTGAAAGTGAAACTTAAACTGTCTGCGGAGGTCCTAACAGTAGTTCTCACTCAGTGAAGCCCTTTTTAGATTAAAAATAACTTTGAGGTAGTGTATATTCAGATGCCAAGTAAACTGCATCATAGCAGCCCCCCCTCCCCCCGCGAGCGTGAACCTCTGCACCGAAATGGGCGAGACTGAAGCGGAAGGTGGTTCTTAATTTAATTTCAAGGCGTTTAGAAGAGGAAGTGATGAGAAGAAAAGTTTCTTTTCTATTTAAACAAAAAGACATAATTTTAATAACAACTAAAGGTGACATAGATACTTTACTATGGTATAGTATTTAAATGGATGCCTGAGAAACACACAAAACTGCCACTTTAACACAAGCTTCTCATTCTTAACGTTTTCCAAAAGACTGATAGATTTCTGTGGAGCATCCTTGAACGTTTTACAGGTCACTAGTTTGTATTTTGACTTGTCCGACATCAGAGTTGTGTTGA